GTTGGTGCATAAATTTGAATAGTAGTGGCATTAACTGGTCTTCCTTGTAGGCATATGAATAGTATCCTATCACAGCTTAGATCTGGAAGTGTTCTTCTTGATGATGAGTGTGATGCCATCCTCTTCAATCTGTCACGTTGGCAGAGTAAACCGTCTGATTGTGAGGTTCAAAGTGACCAGTACCAGTCCATTTTCAGCTCACTAATGTCTAGAGTATCAATCTTTATGCATTCCATTAAAATTTTTGACAATTTCCAATTTTCCTAGATTTCATACATTCCATGTCCTGATTATTAATGGATGTTTACAGCTATTTCTCTTCACTTTTGAGTTGTGCCCCATCAGCAAATGAAGATCCCAAAAGCTTTACTCCATTTGCATCATCACGGTCGATTCTCCTTTGAAGAGGCAGCTCTACTCCAGTCATATTTTGAGTGCCTTTCAACCTGAGAGGCTCATCTTCTGGCACTGTATCTGACAATATTCTGATGCTATTCATCATGTTTCAATATTCAAGTGCTATCTGACAGTGTCCCATAAGGTTTTCAGTGGGTAAACATTCATAAGTAGTCCACCTTTCTTCTTCCTAGTCTGTCTTAATTTGGAAGCTCAGCTGAAACTTGTCCACTAAGAGTGACTGTTCGTATTTAAAACGCCGGCAGTTAGCTTCAAGCATCACAACAAAAAGCAAGCTACCACAGTACAACAAACTGACACGTGGTGGAGACACTACTCTAGACAAGGAACAAGTTATCTTGACTCAGTACAGATGAGACAAGTTCAGAGAGTAGGTAATATGCCTAAAGTTAGAGGCTTCAGAATACTTCAAACCATATTTAGCTTTTAATACATTTTTTACCATACTCTTCCCTTACAATTCTCCAGAGGGCAAATACATCAACTAGGGAATATCTAAACTTGTATCTAATCTATTGATTTACATACAGTGATTTTTAAAAAGGTTATTAGCACATGTAATGGTTTAAATAAAATCCACTTGACACCTTAAGACTTAAAATCCAAGAATGAGAAATCCTGTTGTACTTTGGGAAATTTAAATGATTAGCATAAATCTCTCTTTGGTTATTTGACTTACACAGAACTCTGTGTTTTCTCATTTTTGAATTTACATCTTGAGAAATGTCTAGGGTTTAACAATTCTCAATAAGTATTTCATAAAATATGCCCCTAACGAATACCACACTTGTGTTAGAGCAATAGCATGATCTCTTAGGCTACTCATGAGAACACATTTAAGGTTCCGGACCTTTTTTTTTTGAAAAGTTTGTAATCTGATGGGACATATTCTCCAACTCTTCACAAGTAAGGGTTTTACCCTAATCAGACTTCCATGAGATACTTTGTTGTTGCTGATGTTAAGTGCTGTCGAATCAGAGCTCAGGTGGTGTAGTGGGTTACATGTTGGGCTGCTAACTGCAGTCAGGTAGTTGAATACACCTGGTGCTTCACGAAGCTTTCTGCTCTTGTAGAGACTTACAGCCTTAGAAACCCAGATAGAGTCCTTGAGTCGGAACCAACTCGACACATAGCAGCAGCAGTTTGGGCTACTTAAAAGTAAGAAAGCAAGATATTATTAGATATTATGTTTCCTTGGGAAACATATGTAACTGTTTCACCTTTGTGGAATAGGCTTCATTGTCTTTAGGGATAGAAGCTTCTTTATTGTGTTTAAAAAAATAAATTTCCATATTGTTGAGGATATACACAGAACATACACCAATCTAGCAGTTTCTACATGTAAAATTCAGTGATATTTACATTTTTTTTAGTTGTGTTTAACATAAATTCACTGACCTACAGGTTCTTAAAGAAGCTCTGGTAGCGTAGTGGTTACAAGTTGGGTTACTATCCTCAAGGTCAGTAGTTTTAAACTACCAGCTGTTCCATGGGAGAAAGATGAGGCTTTCTGCTCCCATAGAGATTTACAGCCTTGGAAACTCTATACTGGGTTGCTATGAGTCAACTGACTCCACAGCACATAACCACTGCTACCACCAGGTTCTTATCTATTGAGTTACTGTTGTCAATTTGAGTCTACATAGATGGATCTTAACAGTACAATGCACAAAGCAGACATACTGTACCAGTTAAGTTAAACTGTTCAGTTTTAAGAGGACATCAGGGGATATCTTTGTTTTAAGGCTTAGGAGTACCTCAGATCGATAGTTTTAGTTTAATTATTGCATTTTAATATATGGAAATTCCTAGAGAGAAATTTTCATTCTTGTTGAATCTCTAAAGAAGGCAACACAAAGACAAATTTTCTTTCAATATCCTCTTACTAAAAATATCCATCAAGTATACAATATATCACTGTGCTTGTGAACAACTACTATGCAAAACTTATATATATATGACAGAACGCATTTTCATCAAATGCTTGGGTGGTAACAAGGCATGTGGCTCATGAAATACAGCTTATAAAATGTATTATCTATAGCCTTTTGTTCAAACACTTTTGTTGATTTTGTCTTACTAGGCACATCATCTTTGCTCCAAGTAGCCACAACAAATATGCTGGAGAATCATTTCCCGGGATCTATGATGCTATGTTTGATATTGAAAATAAAGCCGACGCTGGTTCTGCTTGGACAGAAGTAAAGAAACACATATCTATTGCTGCCTTTACAATTCAAGCTGCGGCTGGGACCCTGACAGAACTGCTATAGGAAAGTCTCAGACCAGTGGCTGTTAATATTAAAAATGTTGTTTAACTCTGGTGATAACATTAATCTTTTTGATAACACATAAAACCAGAGTTTGAAAACTTGCTTTTTATGTCAGGTTTTGATTTTAGACTTCCACCTTTTTCATCTGCAGAGATTTTATGTTACAAGTGTTAATCTAACTAAACACAAAAAACTTCAGGCGCATGGTGGAAAGAAATACAACTGAACTCTAAAACAAAATATGGCAATGAACTTGAATTCTTGGACACTGCTGGTAGGAATGTAAAATGGCACACCACTTGGGATATAGTTTGGCAGTTAAAATATATATATAATTAAATATGTGTCTACTTTATGAACCAAATGAAAGTATGTGATCACAAAAGACTTCTACACTCATGTTCATACCAACTTAAAACAGAAGCAACAACCTAAATGTCCACCGAGAGAGAAATGAACAAATTGTGGTGTATTTATAATGGAATAAACTCCCAGTACACACATTGGTATTGGTAGACATTTGAGGAAAAGAAGCCAGACACAATGGAGTATATGATTCAATTTATATGATGCTCTGTTGCTGCATGCCATTGAGTCAATTCAAACTGATAGTGACCCTGTGTAGGGTTTCCGAGGCTGTAAATCTTTACGGGAACAGAAACTCATGTTTCTCCTATGGAGCAGCTGGCAGATTCGAACTGCTAACCTGGTAGTTAACAGCCCGATGCACAACCCACTAAGATACCAGAGTTACTTATATGCAGCTCTAGAAAAGGCAAAAGTAATCGATGTCTTAAGTCAGAGCACTGATTGCCTTGATCAAGTCACAAAGAAGGGACTAACTGTATAGAGGCATGAGGGTATTCTCTGGGATGATGGAATTGTTCTGTATCTTGATGTGCTTGACTACACAAGCGTATGCTTTGGTTAAGCCTCATCAAACTGTAAACTTAAAATATGTATATTGTATGAAAATGGTATCAATATGGAGTCCTGGTGTGGAGCTGTAGGATAAAAATAAGACCGCAGACTTCAAGATTGGAAGGTGAAACCCACCAGTCGCTCCTTGGAAACTCTATTCAGGTTTGTTTTGAGTCGGAACTAACTTGATGGCACTGAACAACATGTATTTGATCAAAAAGGAAGAAAAAAGTCTGGCAAAGAATCCACCTCTTGAAATCATCAGAGTGTAATTGTTTAGGAAAAAAGCAATGCCCATACTTTTGGTAACTTCCATTCTATTGAATTAACACATAGAAATATTGGGTAAAAACGGCTACAAAAATCTGCGTACTGTAATTTGTAAGAAAAGTGTATCAGCATTTGTAAGCATTTATGTAAAACCTAAACGAATCATAAATATGGATAAACTATGATTAAAGCTTAGTTGTTCAACTCTTTCCAAAAGAAGATAAAATTTTTAAGAAGGTTTTTAGTCAAGCACACAAATTGCACTAGCGACACCTCAAAGTTTGAGTATAAAAGACTCTTTCTCCCTGGCTCTTGATGGAATTTAATAAAAACAGTGAGGGCATTTAGTATAGGTAGTAGTAGTTCTCATACACATCAATCTTCCAAAAGGGAGTCTACTGTTTCCCCAAAATAAAACAAACAGGCATAGAAATGATCTCGAGTAATCAAGATTCATTTAAAATATATTCTACTCATTCTGAGTAGAAGAAACTAAAGAATGTATTTAGAAAACACAAAATTTCTAATGTATGTAAAATTCAACTTTTACAAAGTTTGACAAATATGCTAAGTTAACTTTACTACTATACTCTATTCTAGCTTAGCATTCATTACCCTGTATTTTTGGATACAGAGGAGTAATTGTATTCTTTTCCTTTAAGATATTATAGAAGGAATGCTGAGTGAATCACTTTTCCATTATCCCCTGAATAAATCTACATTTCAGTGGGTTTCATTTTCTTCATGAATAATGATTTTTAAAGTTCCCTCCAGCTCAAATTACAATATACTTTCTATAATGGGCAGTTTTCTAATCTCTTGTAGGGTACTTGTCCTGATGTTAGTTTTTGTAGAGAAATAGCATATGTGGTTTGAAATGTAAATTTGGGATAACAGTAACTTTCTTAAGTTACTGCTTTAATTGGATGTCCATTATATTTAGTTTTCATTATGCTTAGTAACAGCTACTGATCATTAGTGAACCAAGAAATTATGTGACAGGCAATTCAATCTAGACACTGGATACAGGATATGTATGGGCTTTTCCTCAAGCATCAGATATATATCAAAGGAGCTCTGGTAGTGTAGTAGTTAGGAATCGGGCTGCTAACCTCAGGGTCAGCAGTTCGAAACTACCAGCTGTTCCGTGGGAGAAAGATGAGGCTTTCTGCTCCCGTAAAGATTTACAGCCTCAGAAACCCTGTACAGGGTTGCTATTAAGTTGGAACTGACTCCATGGCATACAACAATAATCAGATTTCCATGAGATACTTTGTTGTTAAGTGCTGTTGAGTTGGTTTTGACCCACAGTGACCCTGTATAGGGCTTCCAAAGAGCAGCTGGTAGCTTGAACCATCGACCTTGCAGTTCAAAACGACTTTGCAGTAGTTTCTGACTTAGTAGGTCAAGATTGTTGTTAAGTGCCATCAAACTGGTTCCTACTCATAGTGACCCAGAATAGGGTTTCCAAGGAGCAGAGAGGGAGTTTGAACCACCAACCTTGTTCAAACTGACCTTTGCAGTCCAGTGGTTTATCCCATAGCACCACACCTCCCAGGGATTCTGATGCTGAGGGTTCAGAAATGGCATTTTAATGACCACTGGCCTGGCCTAGAAGAGGAAAGCCAAAATTCAAATGATCCTTTGTCCTGTTTTCAATCTTATCTGTCTCTCCTATAAAAAGTTATAATAAATATTAAAAGCCAGTTGTTGCATTCAGACTCATGGTAACTCTGTATGTATCAGTATATAGCTGTGCTCTACAGAGTTTTTATGGGATGGTGTTTCAGATGAAGATCACCAGGTCTTTCTTCTAAAGTTCTTCTGGGTCAACTAACCTCTGTTAACAGTCAAGTATGTTAACCATTTGTGTCACCCAGGGATGACAAAAGTTCTTTCCTCTCCTGCTATTTCAGCCATTTTCATGTGTACTTCAGAAATTTCTCAAGTGATTAGGAGTCTTTTGTCCTTCATGATGGGCTCCTGAACCACATCAGAGAACTGATATACCAAGGCAACTCAGGATAGGGGCTACCATGCCAGCCTCACCAGAAAGTAGCTGTCCAACTTTATACATGGATATATTGGAGTGTGATGTATTCGTAATACCAAGGGGGAAAGTAAGGACCAGATTTCACCTTATGTCTTCATTTAGTTATGCAATAAAATTTTAATTGTAAGCATGGCATTTTCCTGAGCTCTGTAAGTCATTCTAGTGAATTACTGAATAAGAACAGGGAGAAACCCAGAATTTGGTCAGTTGGTCGTAAGTGAGGGTTCTGAGAAGCCTTGAGCTTGCAGTTGGTATCTTGTGGTAAGTAGTCTTATGAAGGGGCTGTGCTCTTGTGAAGTTTGGTCTGCTCCAAGTAGTTGGGACTTAGGATTCGTTTTGCCAATATAGATATGAACTCCTACCTATCAGCCATGTATCACTATCAAAGTGGCAATGGAAACTTCTTTTTACGCTGGAGATTGTGACACTGCTTTGGAAGTGATTTAGAAAAACTAGAGGCCCTAAGAGTTATCCAATCACACATGGTGATGGTGGTGTGCCATGGAGTTGGTTCTGACTCAGTGATTCTGTATAGGGTTTCTGAGGCTGTAAATCCTTACGGGCGCAGAAAGTCTCATCTTTCTCCCACTGAACGGCTGGTAGTTTCAAAACAGCTGACCTTGAGATTAGCAGCCCAACTCGTAACCACTACGCTACCAGAAGCCCCTTCACAAATAGTAACTTTTAAATCTAGCTATGAAATCCATAACTATCCAGGTAAAAGACTATTTTATAAATCAACTTTTATTTCCAGCTATAAAACACACTTGCTACTAGTTTTCTATGTAGCACACTTTATTGAACTTATTTATTCAGATGAAAAATAGAAGCACATAATAAAACTTAAGAGCAGACTATAAATCCAGGATCTTTGGTTTGAATCTCTATTCTAGCACTCAGTAGGTTATACTTTGTGCAAGTTACTTAAGTTGTTGTGTGCTATTGGTTCAGACTCATAGTGACCTCTGACAGTGAAGCTCTGTATCCTACAGGGCTTTCTACATTGAAACCTTTATGAGAATATTTTGTTAAGTCTTTTCCTCCTGCAGAGACTGATGGGTTTGAACCACCAACCTTCTGGTAGCAGTGGCACACTTGCTGAAGCAGTGTTTCATCAGGACTCCTTTACTGCACCACAAATCAGTCCCCACATCTACAATATAAGAATAAAACCTATTTAAGTGGTCTTGGAAGATTTAGTTAAAATTCTTATAACAGTGTCTGGTACTTAACATATATGGTGGTGGTAGTGTTCCATGGAGTTGGTTCCGACTCATAGCGACCCTGTACAGGGTTTCAAAGGCTGTAAATCTTTACAGGAGCAGAAAGCCTCATCTTTCTCCCACGGAACTGCTGGTAGTTTCTTGCTGCTGACCTTGAGATTTAGCAGCCCGGCTCATAACCACTGTGCTATTAGAGCTCCTTATAACATATATGTTTAAAAAACCAACTGCCATTTCAAATCCTACAGGTTTGCTATGAATCAGAATTGATCCAAAGAAAGTGTCCCCTCTTCCCTTTTTGGTACTAGAAAATGTGGATATAATACAGTGATATATTTTGTCCACACAAGGGGATACAAACATCAACAAATCACACAAATAAGTGAAGTACAAATAAATATGTAATTCAAAGAAGCATTAGGATCACTGTGTTCCAAAACCATGAATATATCCATTTAATCTCTGAGAAGGGAAAATACTACAGGTTCAGGAAGGTATCCTTATTTCAGGCTTAGTACCTAACCATGCTTTGA